TTTATTTTCTATTATTATTGTAAACATATGTACAGAGTATTTCAAAGTCGGGACACCCGACTTTAGCTTTTTTTACTTGTTTTTATTAGTTATTTCTTCGATTTCATATTCTTATATATAAATAGCATTTTAATTAAACAAATGAAACACATTTTCTCATTTCCACACCACCTTAGAGGTAGAGGATTCGATGCGCTTTTTTTTTAACGTGGTATCCCCTTTAGGCCTACTCCACTGTCTCATTTAGGAGTGATCTTCACTGTCGGAAGACAGATTTCATAGTCTCGTCATTTCCGTCAATGATCTATCATCGTGTGGTCTATTTAATAATTTGTTTGCGTCCAAATCTGATAAAGCTACGCCCTCCAAACTTTTGACACGACTTAGTGCAACATATATTTGCCCTTTTGCAAAGTTCTTTTTACCAAGGTTGATTACAGCTCTTTGGAGGGTTGTACCCTGTATTTTATGGACTGTAACCGCCCAGCTTAATATTAGAGGCAGCATACGGTGCTCCACATCTCCGTAACCTCTCAATGCCTGAAACGTAGTACTAGATGGAGGTATGGGTATGCAACCATTATTATCTTTAAGCCTAAGCCCAATAGATTCGTCATCAAATTTTACGTACACGGCTTCTGGTAGCTCTCCATCCTCCAGTTGATCTCTCCTCAAAGCTGGCCATTTGATATATTTTATTATACCCATTCACAAGTCCTTCCGATACGGCGATGTTGCGTCTCAACATCACGCGGGATTCGACGCAAATTTTTATCGATGGCAGAAAACCACCACAGCTATTGACGTCTTTGGGAATTACGTTCTCTGGTTGTGTTCTTCCATATGTCGCAACTTCACGAGACTCATCTACTGCGTTGATTTGATAAGTTCGATGCAGCTTTTCATTGTCCTTGCTAATTTTGTCGTTATAATCGTCGACTTTCGGCTCCATCCGCAAATTCACCATTTAAAGGCACGTGGGTTCGCTCGCATAATAACTCAAGCTGAGCCGTCGTCAATTCACCTACCCGTAAGCTGTTCAATAAATCGATGAATTTGCTGTCATCCCGCTGTCGCATGTTTATGGTTAGTTCACAAAAAGAAAACTGATACCACAAATTAATCTCCGCTGAATACCACGATGGCTGCACAAAACACCAATTCCCTTTCACCGTTCACCCTGAAATATATCACCGAACACCAAAATATTGACTCCACCGAATAATTTGTCGTTGTTTTTATATTCTTGAAGTCTCAGGTGGATTATTCTTAGATTCTCATAAGAGACCATAAAAATTTCGTCTATGATTAGCCAATTTATATAGCACCATTTACGCCTTACATTCTCGAGTCTTTAGGCTGTCATTTTTTTGTATTTCATAGTATTTTTTTTTCTATTGGTAGAAAGAATATACTATGTAACGTTTTTCCAAAAATTTGACGAGCAGCAACTCCGGTTAATGACCCAACTTCTACAAAGTTAGGCTTCAGTAGTATATCTACTGTTGGTGCGTAACAACGCTTCATATGCTCCACGATCAATTTTAAAACAAATGATTTACCACTACCTGCACCGCCCATGATAAAAAGTAACAGCTGACTTTCGTGTCTTTGCAAATCGTTTTCGATCGCCGTTGAAACGTTCTGAAATAAAGTCTTCTGTTGTACATTCAATCCGCGAATGCTTTCCAGGAACAATTCATCCGTCATGACGGCTCGTTCTTCCATGTCTTCACAAAAGTTATCATCGTCATGTACAATTTGTTCCCTAACACATAAAATGGGTGCATTGTCGACATTGGTTTCACGCGCAACATTAAGTGCGGTAGCTTGAGTTCTGCTGAATAATTAGTTCAGCGTATCCGAATTGTTCTGCGCTGAGATTGCCCTGCAACGGGCGAAGATCACTTTGACGCCTTATAAAAGAGCCTTCAGTGGTTTCATTTGCCAATAGTAACTCGCCTTCATTACGAAATGGTATGTGGCATACTATTAAACTGTAATAGTATGCTTCTTTGTCACTATTAATTGTATAATAGCGGGTACGTAATACTGCCGGTCTATTTCTTACACGCATTCTAGTGTTGTCCTGCAATCCGAAGTACCTCATTAGTGTAGTATCTTCGTCCCTCAGTTCTGCATCTCCATTGTCCTCGTTTGGGCGTAACATATATCGATCAAAAATGTTATTATAAATGCTGGTTTCATCACTATCGAATTTTAGAAGTCTGAAACGTTCCTCCGGCGTGCAACTATTTACTAAAACAGTCTTTCGACATTTTCAATGGCAAATGGCATAATCTGTATGAGCGTTCGGGCGCACTCACCAGGCGTTGACTTAAATAGTTATTGATACTGAAAAGAATTGTTTCCAAACATCACCACCTTGTCTTTTAGCATTCGAAATAGCTTATCGAATTACATCACCTGTATCATGTGGTTCGCACTTACTCGCATATTTTGCGACGTAGTAGGCTACAGCGGTGACACTACCACACGGTTGGACGTAAATATTCCCCTTCCAGAACTGGATTGTAATTGTTGACCATGGTTTTATTTGAGGTTCTTTTCAATAAACAGAATCGTCCGCTGTTAGCAAGTGCTTCATCTGGTTCTAGACAAACTGTCTTATCACTTGCTCGGCCTGGAAAATCAAATCGACAACCATCAGCTTGACGGTTTTTATACCCTGTACCCGTAGGGTAAAAAGGGTATATTAGGTTTGTGCAAAGTATGTAACATACAGAAGGAAGCATCTCCGACCCCATAAAGTATATATATTCTTGATCAGCATAACGAGAGAAATCGATCTAGACTTGTCCGTCCGTCTGGATGAACGCGAGGATCTCTTTGGGTCTTGCCCCAATTTATAATTCCAGCTAAGTTGCAAACATCTTATGGTCATTTTACCATGCCAATACCAAAAGATATCTATATTAAATTTAAAAAAAAATTATTTGCTTGCCCACTGCTACCAACAACTATGGCGGTCGTGAACTCGTACTTGCCAAGCTTTGTAATTCCATTGAATAATGCTGATACTATGAACAGATCTTTAAGAATATTTTGGGATTTGTTTTCTAAGAAAGTTAATAGTCGGTGTTTTCACTTAAATCAGGAGCCGTCAATCTGGGTCACCAGCCCCAAGAAGCTTTCCAGCGTCCCAATAAAAATGGACCTAAAATATAACCTCCAAAGATGACGATATTATTATTTACATCCAAAGGATAGGTTCTCTTGAATTATGAAACTGATCAAAACGAACTACGAAACGCTCGATTCAATCAGCCCCACGTTGGGCGCCAAAAATTTATAACTATATGCATCTATGTTCAAATGGTGGATGACAATTCTATAATATCCGAGGATAAAATGAACTAGGAACGAAACAAGATTACCGGTTCTCTCCGCGACTGCATCTGTATACAATATACACACATAGTTCCCGTTGGGCAGTCAATTAGATGTAATGTTTTACGGCATTCTGAAAGAAATGCATGACCGGCAAAACAAAATTCATTCCTGAGCTAAGGTGAACCTAGAAACAAATAAATCGATTGGGACTCGAAATTGCGACTAGCAAACAGCCTGTGGAGGGGTTCGTTGATTCATTTGATTCTGCCATGAACTCGTCGTATACACATAGAATAAATAAATGAGTCCGCTATGTCTTAAATATTGCAAAAAAATTAACTGGGCAGATTATGCCCCGAAAGAAAGAGAAAAATGAGTCAAGAAAGGAGGAAAAGCCCTGTATTACACCTCTGAGCTACTAGATGTTATCGTAGCTAGGCTTCTTTACCCACCCTACCATGATTTTCCTTTAGCCAAATATGTGGAAAATCCCTAAAGTTTCTACGACACCATATTCCCCGTCTACATTACTTTCAAGGAAATTTACTCAAAATTTACTCATTCATGATAATATACATTTATTTAGATAAAGATGGAAAAATTAATTGTAATAACGCTCATTTCAAATTATGAAATTAAGATGTGAACTTCATGTGCCTTTAATGGCGAAAATTGTTTGAAAAGTATACAAAGCTATCAATAATAAGAAGGGTTTAAACTATAATTCAAAATGGTTACAAAAACTAACTTCAAATGATTATTTTCCAACTTAAGTATAATAATAATAATATAAGTACTATGTGTTTCATTTCATGTTTAACTAGGTGTGTACCACGGTGAGTGGTTGGCTCACATATTCGATGCCTCAGCGGATAAATACAATCAAAACAAAGTACAGAAAAAAAATATGCTTTACCCGTTTCTATTTTCGTTCAGGCGCATATGCATAAAAATCAAACAGCTGATAACTGCAACCACATGTATAGCATTATGCATTAGTTTGGTATACAAACTCAGATGGAGTTTGCATTTGGCATTTCAATATGTAATATAGGTTTGGCTCGGGTTATTATAATCACAACACAAAGTTAAATATTTTAATTATTTGGAACGAACTCACCCATCGTAATCTCCTCCGAAGGCCTTCGTAGTCGACGCTGATGTAGTTGCTGGAGAATAAATTTAATTTTGTTACATATCCATCCTACATCGAAGACATGCTGCGCTTTCTTTACATACACTTGTTGTTGTGGAAATTATATTAAATAACTGCTTCTGTAGTTAGACAGAAAAGTTCAAATTAATAACCTAACTCAAAATTAAAATTAAACAAATTTCAGATGGCGATAGCCTATTCGCGTTGGACCTGTGACCTCTCCTTGGTCATGTGGCAGAACCTTCTCTCTCCTTCCTAGTAAAATGCTCGGTTTAGTTTCGCGCTCGACGAAACTCCATGCTCATGCATTTATCATGGATATTGCATGGTTTCAAAGGTATTGCCACGAACTATGGAGTCCTTGATTAGCACCAGTCGCTTGAAACTTGCTCTGGGAGGCGCCGAATTTCTTAGCCACTCCCCAATTCTCGCAAAGGTATAACGTGTGTCCTCACGTAGCAATTACGACAGAGCCTTTACCCACTTTTAGGTCAGATTCGAGTGCATTCGATGCGGTGCGCGGTTCCAGAATCGAGCACCAAGCTAACAATATCAATGCCTTGATGGGGCCTCACGATATTGTGCCGCCGCTAAATGAATAAAGCTGGCCTTCAACTTGCTGCGTGTGGACTTATTTTTGTTGTTTTCCCTTTTTTCCTCGTTGCTAACAATTCTGCACCTAAATATCTATTCCACTGCCCACTTATGGGTAGCTAAAAGAACATAACTAACTATAAAACAATAATATTTGGTGGATGCCTAATATTTACCGAGATTAATTTCTTTATATCAATGACAGAACGAGATTAACGATTTATTTTCTCTTGACTGCACTAAGTACGCCCATCGCTGATATACAGAAAAATAGCGCAACATCGCATCTTCCAATTTAACATTTGCACTCACGATCATAAGCTTGATGCACCGATAACCCTTAGGTTTAGGTATTGGCTAAATTATGCATCCCTTGTTCACCACAAACTAAACATAAACATGTATTCTAATTTAATTAAATTAATTAATTAATTCATTAATTTTTTTTAATAATTTAATTTTTTTTAATTTTTCTTTTTTGTGGAGAGTACAGGCTATTTTACTGTCGGGCTTGCTCGACTGTAGCGTTCGATCTTGTTTTTTTTTATTTTATTAATTTTTTTATTTTCTATTATTATTGTAAACATATGTACAGAGTATTTCAAAGTCGGGACACCCGACTTTAGCTTTTTTTACTTGTTTTTATTAGTTATTTCTTCGATTTCATATTCTTATATATAAATAGCATTTTAATTAAACAAATGAAACACATTTTCTCATTTCCACACCACCTTAGAGGTAGAGGATTCGATGCGCTTTTTTTTTAACGTGGTATCCCCTTTAGGCCTACTCCACTGTCTCATTTAGGAGTGATCTTCACTGTCGGAAGACAGATTTCATAGTCTCGTCATTTCCGTCAATGATCTATCATCGTGTGGTCTATTTAATAATTTGTTTGCGTCCAAATCTGATAAAGCTACGCCCTCCAAACTTTTGACACGACTTAGTGCAACATATATTTGCCCTTTTGCAAAGTTCTTTTTACCAAGGTTGATTACAGCTCTTTGGAGGGTTGTACCCTGTAGTTTATGGACTGTAACCGCCCAGCTTAATATTAGAGGCAGCATACGGTGCTCCACATCTCCGTAACCTCTCAATGCCTGAAACGTAGTACTAGATGGAGGTATGGGTATGCAACCATTATTATCTTTAAGCCTAAGCCCAATAGATTCGTCATCAAATTTTACGTACACGGCTTCTGGTAGCTCTCCATCCTCCAGTTGATCTCTCCTCAAAGCTGGCCATTTGATATATTTTATTATACCCATTCACAAGTCCTTCCGATACGGCGATGTTGCGTCTCAACATCACGCGGGATTCGACGCAAATTTTTATCGATGGCAGAAAACCACCACAGCTATTGACGTCTTTGGGAATTACGTTCTCTGGTTGTGTTCTTCCATATGTCGCAACTTCACGAGACTCATCTACTGCGTTGATTTGATAAGGTGCTAATTTTGCCGTTATAATCGTCGACTTTCGGCTCCATCCGCAAATTCACCATTTAAAGGCACGTGGGTTCGCTCGCATAATAACTCAAGCTGAGCCGTCGTCAATTCACCTACCCGTAAGCTGTTCAATAAATCGATGAATTTGCTGTCATCCCGCTGTCGCATGTTTATGGTTAGTTCACAAAAAGAAAACTGATACCACAAATTAATCTCCGCTGAATACCACGATGGCTGCACAAAACACCAATTCCCTTTCACCGTTCACCCTGAAATATATCACCGAACACCAAAATATTGACTCCACCGAATAATTTGTCGTTGTTTTTATATTCTTGAAGTCTCAGGTGGATTATTCTTAGATTCTCATAAGAGACCATAAAAATTTCGTCTATGATTAGCCAATTTATATAGCACCATTTACGCCTTACATTCTCGAGTCTTTAGGCTGTCATTTTTTTGTATTTCATAGTATTTTTTTTTCTATTGGTAGAAAGAATATACTATGTAACGTTTTTCCAAAAATTTGACGAGCAGCAACTCCGGTTAATGACCCAACTTCTACAAAGTTAGGCTTCAGTAGTATATCTACTGTTGGTGCGTAACAACGCTTCATATGCTCCACGATCAATTTTAAAACAAATGATTTACCACTACCTGCACCGCCCATGATAAAAAGTAACAGCTGACTTTCGTGTCTTTGCAAATCGTTTTCAATCGCCGTTGAAACGTTCTGAAATAAAGTATTCTGTTGTACATTCAATCCGCGAATGCTTTCCAGGAACAATTCATCCGTCATGACGGCTCGTTCTTCCATGTCTTCACAAAAGTTATCATCGTCATGTACAATTTGTTCCCTAACACATAAAATGGGTGCATTGTCGACATTGGTTTCACACGCAACATTAAGTGCAGTAGCTTGAGTTCTGCTGAATAATTAGTTCAGCGTATCCGAATTGTTCTGCGCTGAGATTGCCCTGCAACGGGCGAAGATCACTTTGACGCCTTATAAAAGAGCCTTCAGTGGTTTCATTTGCCAATAGTAACTCGCCTTCATTACGAAATGGTATGTGGCATACTATTAAACTGTAATAGTATGCTTCTTTGTCACTATTAATTGTATAATAGCGGGTACGTAATACTGCCGGTCTATTTCTTACACGTATTCTAGTGTTGTCCTGCAATCCGAAGTACCTCATTAGTGTAGTATCTTCGTCCCTCAGTTCTGCATCTCCATTGTCCTCTGACCATGTCGTGTTAGGGATAGTTTCAAAACGGACGGCAAATTCCACAAGGCTTAAATTCTCCAGCTCGTTTGGGCGTAACATATATCGATCAAAAATGTTATTATAAATGCTGGTTTCATCACTATCGAATTTTAGAAGTCTGAAACGTTCCTCCGGCCTGCAACTATTTACTAAAACAGTCTTTCGACATTTTCAATGGCAAATGGCATAATCTGTATGAGCGTTCGGGCGCACTCACCAGGCGTTGACTTAAATAGTTATTGATACTGAAAAGAATTGTTTCCAAACATCACCACCTTGTCTTTTAGCATTCGAAATAGCTTATCGAATTACATCACCTGTATCATGTGGTTCGCACTTACTCGCATATTTTGCGACGTAGTAGGCTACAGCGGTGACACTACCACACGGTTGGACGTAAATATTCCCCTTCCAGAACTGGATTGTAATTGTTGACCATGGTTTCATTTGAGGTTCTTTTCAATAAACAGAATCGTCCGCTGTTAGCAAGTGCTTCATCTGGTTCTAGACAAACTGTCTTATCACTTGCTCGGCCTGGAAAATCAAATCGACAACCATCAGCTTGACGGTTTTTATACCCTGTACCCGTAGGGTAAAAAGGGTATATTAGGTTTGTGCAAAGTATGTAACATACAGAAGGAAGCATCTCCGACCCCATAAAGTATATATATTCTTGATCAGCATAACGAGAGAAATCGATCTAGACTTGCCCACTGCTACCAACAACTATGGCGGTCGTGAACTCGTACTTGCCAAGCTTTGTAATTCCATTGAATAATGCTGATACTATGAACAGATCTTTAAGAATATTTTGGGATTTGTTTTCTAAGATAGTTAATAGTCGGTGTTTTCACTTAAATCAGGAGCCGTCAATCTGGGTCACCAGCCCCAAGAAGCTTTCCAGCGTCCCAATAAAAATGGACCTAAAATATAACCTCCAAAGATGACGATATTATTATTTACATCCAAAGGATAGGTTCTCTTGAATTATGAAACTGATCAAAACGAACTACGAAACGCTCGATTCAATCAGCCCCACGTTGGGCGCCAAAAATTTATAACTATATGCATCTATGTTCAAATGGTGGATGACAATTCTATAATATCCGAGGATAAAATGAACTAGGAACGAAACAAGATTACCGGTTCTCTCCGCGACTGCATCTGTATACAATATACACACATAGTTCCCGTTGGGCAGTCAATTAGATGTAATGTTTTACGGCATTCTGAAAGAAATGCATGACCGGCAAAACAAAATTCATTCCTGAGCTAAGGTGAACCTAGAAACAAATAAATCGATTGGGACTCGAAATTGCGACTAGCAAACAGCCTGTGGGGGGGTTCGTTGATTCATTTGATTCTGCCATGAACTCGTCGTATACACATAGAATAAATAAATGAGTCCGCTATGCCTTAAATATTGCAAAAAAATTAACTGGGCAGATTATGCCCCGAAAGAAAGAGAAAAATGAGTCAAGAAAGGAGGAAAAGCCCTGTATTACACCTCTGAGCTACTAGATGTTATCGTAGCTAGGCTTCTTTACCCACCCTACCATGATTTTCCTTTAGCCAAATATGTGGAAAATCCCTAAAGTTTCTACGACACCATATTCCCCGTCTACATTACTTTCAAGGAAATTTACTCAAAATTTACTCATTCATGATAATATACATTTATTTAGATAAAGATGGAAAAATTAATTGTAATAACGCTCATTTCAAATTTTAAGATGTGAACTTCATGTGCCTTTAATGGCGAAAATTGTTTGAAAAGTATACAAAGCTATCAATAATAAGAAGGGTTTAAACTATAATTCAAAATGGTTACAAAAACTAACTTCAAATGATTATTTTCCAACTTAAGTATAATAATAATAATATAAGTACTATGTGTTTCATTTCATGTTTAACTAGGTGTGTACCACGGTGAGTGGTTGGCTCACATATTCGATGCCTCAGCGGATAAATACAATCAAAACAAAGTACAGAAAAAAAATATGCTTTACCCGTTTCTATTTTCGTTCAGGCGCATATGCATAAAAATCAAACAGCTGATAACTGCAACCACATGTATAGCATTATGCATTAGTTTGGTATACAAACTCAGATGGAGTTTGCATTTGGCATTTCAATATGTAATATAGGTTTGGCTCGGGTTATTATAATCACAACACAAAGTTAAATATTTTAATTATTTGGAACGAACTCACCCATCGTAATCTCCTCCGAAGGCCTTCGTAGTCGACGCTGATGTAGTTGCTGGAGAATAAAATTAATTTTGTTACATAT